ATTGTCAACAACTCTGTTGTGCCAGATTAAAATCTGTTTAAAGGCAGTGAAAGTAGAGAGGAAAAATAAAGTGGAAGGAAAAATTAAAGCAAGGAAAATGCAGAGTAAAATCTGTTGTGGGAAGCACGTTGTGAGCAGTCTGGTCCCGGTGGTTTCAGACATATTTCAAGCTCTAAAACTTGTTAGCTACATTAGCCTCAGATCTCCAGTACATAAATAAAGTAGCAAACTTTAAGTACCAAACATGTCTTCACTGATTATCTACATCTGAAAAAAACTGTACATTTTGTCAAACTATCCATTTAAAATAACCTAAAATCCACTGAGTTTGATTTGGCCACTGCTTCCACCAGAAAGTCTTCCACTTTTCCTCTAACTTGCTTGAGAAGTCGACAGTTTCTTCTCTCCTAGTCCTGCACTCTCCTCGCAAGCGTGTGTTTGAAGTGCAGAAGCGAGTGTGTGTCACTGTACTGCAATGTGGTGTTTGATGTGGTTGTGTTCTGAGCTACTGACGGATCTTCATGCGCCCACTCTGCAGCGCACAGTCCACCTGCTCTTTAGACTGTGAAATAGAGAGCTGGAAAGCGAGGCTTATCTCCCCACAGGGATCTCCCCGGCCTAGCCGGCACCACACGTCGCCTGGCTCCTTTCATCTCTCCTCTTCATCCTTGTGTCTCTCCGGCCGCACTCCTCCGCTCAGCTGAGGCTAATCGCAGGCCGAGATTAGCCCAGACTGAGCTGGGCACACACAGTAACCTGGCCTTGGCTTCAGCTGCTCTGACTTTAACCTGGCCTCAGATTGAGACTCTGTGCTTCCCACTGCTTCTGCTGCCTGAACATTAATCTGCAGTCAGGTTGAAGCAATCTGCCATGAGCTTCACGCCAAAGGTCAGAGGTGAACATGTTTTATGAGTGACATGCCAGTATGAACAGGAATAAATGAAGCTGGAGCACACCTCCAGCCCTGCCTCAGGCTCTTTCTGTCTGTTTCTCTCTGTATGTACAATCCAGTGCCCATCATTTTGTAGACACCTTGTCTTCTTTTGAAATCCTCAGGGTAATGTTTGATTCTCACTGTTTCCTTTCAGTGAAGTAGTACTAACATTAAGATAGCCGTAGGTTTATTTGTAACATTCAGCTTCAAAGTATCTTCCCTGGTATGAAGAGCAGGTTAACATCACAATTGACAATTTCTCCTTAAAAAAGTGTTTCAGACACCTAAAAGATTTGAGTGCTCATGACTGCGGATGGAGTACAGCATTATTCCCAACAGAAACGTGCACAGATAGACCCCAGCGGGTCTTTAACCCCTGCCGCCTTGTCTTCAGACTGTACAAGTAACCTGTCTGTATGTAATGTCTGCATAGAATAACTGTTTTGTATGGTCAGTCTTCAAGATCTGTTTTAGCAAGGCTCAGCTCAGCCTTGAGCTAGTAGGTCAGCTTGGGTTCCACAAGCTGCATCGGGTTTCAGTGATTCCACTGGTGCAGTATTGGCATCCATTGAGGTTTCACCTCAGTAACTGACCTATCACGGATGCGTCTATCATAAACAGCGCAGGAAATTCTGTCAATAAAGCACTTTTAATCTGACATTTAATTTATTGAACAAAGTGTTTATTTTGAACAACAACCAAACAAATGACAGTAAGGGGTGCTAATAACCTACTTACCATAAAAAACAGGAATTTTTGTGACGTTCTGTAGAGCTCTTAATAGGGCAGCAACCTAAATAGCGTAGTGGATAACGCTTCGTATGTTGGAGATACTTTGAGGTTCAAAGCTCTGCTTGGGCAATATAGCTTTATAGCTGCATTTTAGTCTGCATTGGAAAAACTTAAGACTTAACACTGACTTAACTGACTTAACTGTACTTGCATGAGAGTGGTTGCAATTTGCTGCCCATTTTCCCCCCTTGAGCCCCTGCCCCCCAAAAAGTCTGTGCATGAGTCTGATTTCCAGTATAGTGCTTTTGTCAGTTGTTGCTTTAGTTTTGATATAAATAAACAAGCATACGTTTTTATCAGTTTGCAGTTATTAAATAAAAAGTCTAAGTTGAAAAGTTAGGTGTCCATAAACTATTTGCGAGCAGTGTATCTCTCGTTCTCTCTCTCTCTGTCTCTGAGGTGTAAAACGCTGTGAGAAACACTCATAAGTATCGTATCTGGCCTTCCATTACACCTCATTCAGTAAACACACGCTGGATCTCAGCTCCTCCTTGGCTCCGAGACTGTAGGCCACGTCTCAGAGGCGCAGGTTGGGGAAGTACAGCCACGGAGCTCTAAACAAAGGCATAATGAAATGTTTTGTAATGTGTTGTGTCTCCAGAAAAGGCCATTTTCCCTTTGTGAAAAGGTTAGTGTTGTTACAGTGGGTGCCTGATTACTGAGTGCCAGTTGAATTTGTCCTCATCACAGTCTGGCTCAGTGCTCACAGGGAGGGGAATGAGGCACTGCATTTTCTTTTTACAGAGGGGAAAGGAATAAAATGGCTCTGATTTCACAGTTTGATCTGTTTTCAATTACAGTGCCTTGTCATATGAGAGAAAATGCTGAACAATTGAAATCAATCAGTGCTTGTGGGAGTCGGTGGGGGCCGCGAGGGGCTCATGCTCACACAGCTGCTCCAGAGGACACAGCTCGCCGAGAGTTTTTTGTGTACATGCGTGCAAGCAGAATAGTTAACAGAGTTCAGTGAGTGTGCCGATGGGTGTGGGATTACTGTTACTACATAGAAGTGCTCTCTCTCTCTCTAACAACTCTGTATTGTTAAAACTTTTTTATCTCTCTCTCCTTATTTCTCTCTATATCCCCCTTTCTCACTCTCATTCTCTTTCTGTCTTTCACGCTGTCTCTCTTCCTGTCTCAGTCTCTTTTTCACTCCTTCTCTTTTGTCTGTCTCTCTCTGCCTCTGTTTTCTGTTCTCACTCTATCTCTAACCCTCTTTCACTCTCTCTTGATTTTTTTCTTTTCTTCTTTCTTTTTATATCCCTCTGTCTCTGTCGCTCACTCATTCTCTCTTTGTTTGTCTCTCCCTCTCTTTTTTCTTTTTTTTTGTTTTGCTCTGTATCATTGTCTTTTTTTTCCCTTACCTCCCTTGTCCTCTTTCTTTTTCTTTCTATGTCTCTCGTTATCTCTGTCTGGCTCTCTCTCTCTCTACTTCAGTGGTATTCAGATCAGCTCTGATTTTTGGACTCTAAAGTGAGCTTTACTGCAGTATGCTCTGGATTTCTGGGCCTTGGCTGTGGTGTGTCACTCTGTTTCAAGGGTGCGGTGTGTATATGAGCTATAATGGCTTCTCCAGCTCAGTGCCCGTCCTCTCGGCTCAAATCTATTATCTTTATATTACCGAAAGCCATGATGACACAGCACAACTTAAAGAAACTTTTTGACCGTTCACTGCTGCGGGGTGTAATTAAACCATGCCACAGTGTACATGTTCATTTGAGCCTCGTTGTTTTATAGTTTTTTTTTTTGTTGGATAATTACAATTAAGTGTTGAACCAACTGAATATCATAAAAACCAACAGAAAAAACATGGCAAGTTAATCATTTCTTTACATCCCTTTTTTCTGGTCTTGTGCAGTATACATGATGTTTAAGCATTTTTCCCCACAGACATAAATTCACTGGACTTAATGAAAGGCATTTGGCTGCCTGCTGAAGCCCTTCAAGCAAATTGTTCAGTAAATTTCAAGTGAAATTGAGTACATGAGTGTATGTGACAGAGAGAACAGTTTGCGCTACTGTTAAGCGCCAACCTGATAGCCCTTTGTCAATTACCTGTAAGCTTCACAGCTGCGAAACCGACCCGCAGTTCAGTAATAGTGCCAACCCAGGCCTCATTCAACACCATTAACATTTAATGTAATGTAAACTATACAGCGTGACACCATATGCTTTGTATTTGGCAACCACGTGGCACTGGTTGCTAGGATACCAACTTGCCAGACATAGCATACCAATGAATATTGACAGTATGGTCTCAAAATTGTCACATTTGATAATCTTCACAAACAGGAGGCCATAGATGTCCCTATTTTGAAAACAGCCCATCATCACATATCATCCAGGTTTCACTTCATCCAGGCGTCTTCATGTGGAGTGACGTGTGTTAGGTTTCTTCCTCCCATCCTGTAATGGAAGAGATAATAAAACGTCACGTGTGCTGCCCACTCATCTGAGAGAGAGCAGCTCAGCTCTAATGAGGTCAGACTGGATGAAACTCCAGGGGGAGGGAACCCAGCAGCCACTGGGAGAGTTTACATCGCCCTGGCTCTACACGGCGGTCCAGAGTGTTAATGAGATGGTCTGGGGCCTTGCAGAGGAGCACTGAGCTGCACAGCCTCATGGGAGTTGTAGTTCTGCAGCATCCGTTTAATGAACGTCAGAAACACTAGAAATGTTTCTCCTGACAGTTTCTGTGCCTCTATTGTGATATGTAGGCTGAATTCCACTAAAGTGGTACTATGGCTAGGCAATATGACAAAAAATCTGATAGCAGTCCGTTTTTGTTGATAATGTTGTTGATAATGTTGATAATTATCAGCAGTTGTCTGTATGCATGTTTTCATGCTCAATTTTAAGTCTGGATAGTATTTTAAACTCTTAAGAAAATAAAAAAAGCATGATCTTGATTTTCAAGCTACTTTCTGGCTACTTTATCCATAATTATATGTGTGCATGTCACACTGCTCAATTTTAGGTCAGTTTCAAAATTTACACCTTTTCTGCTAATACCAGTTTGAGTAACAGAATAATGTGATCACTTTATCAAAATAACTCAGATATGCATAACTGATATTGAAAAATGTTTGATTTAGACCATTATTGTTATTGTTTCATCACCCAGGCCTAAGTGGGACACTTTTTAGCAAACATCAGAACAGTCCATCAAAACCATTGAAGTAAATTCATTGAAACTGCTGAAACATGTTGATAGTGAAATGTCCTACATGATATAATGTCCCACTTAACGTGTACTCCTGTTTCTCTCTTTCAGGACCACTGGTTTTGGAGGGTTAGAGACAATGCAGTGATGCCAGGCTATCCCATGCTTATCAGTGTGTTCTGGAGGGGTCTGCCGCCCAAGATAGATGCTGTCTATGAGAACAGCGAGGGCAAGTTTGTCTTCTTTAAAGGTAAGAATAGCAACCACTCAGACAAGTTTAAAGGAGTAAATCATTGTATTGTGTTGATGTGTGGGTTAAAAGCAGTAATCAGCCTAGCAGTAGTGGGAAGAGACTTGCATTATGATGAGCTGTAACCTTATTCCCACTGAAACAAGTGCTGCTGAAACTGCAGTGCCTTACAGGAGCAGAATTAAAGCAAAGGGGCTTATCTATAGAGTATTTGAATGACTGTAACTGAAGCAATTTGGCTCCAAATCTGTGACAGTAAAAGCTCTCATTTGGTGTGTGTATGTATGTGCTCGTGTGTGTGTGTGTGTGTGTGTGTGTGTGTGTGTATGCAATTTCATGGCACAAAAATACTCTGCCTATCTTTTACTGTGTCTTGTTTTCCCTGCAGAGCGTACAGGTCTTTAATCTTTATGTTTACCGTGCGTTTGTCCTTGATCTCAGCTTTAAAAACAGTAAGCAGGTGAATCCAGTCATTATTTTTACATGCCAAAGGAAGCAGCATATAAAACACCTTACTTTATTTCTCTGCCATAGTGAATAAAAAGCATGGCAAGTTAATCACTGGCTTCCTTACCTCCCTTTTCTGATATTGTGCAGTATACTGTACATCCTTTTTATTATCTATGTGCATACATAGACTTAATGAAATGCATGGCTCAAACTACTCTGCATAGCTTTCAGTGTGTCTTATTTTCTCTGAAGAGTGCACAGGTCTTCAAATCTTTATGTTATCTGTGCACCATCCTTGATGTGTACTTTAAAAACATTACGCAGGTGTAACCGTTTGCTATGTAGTCGCAAAAAGAAACAGCAAATAAACACCTTACATTATTCATCTGTTGTACAGACTATCAGACATGAATATATAGGGCTCTTCTCTTATTCATGCAGTCCACAGAGAGAGAGAGAGAGAAAGAGAGAGAGAGAGAGAGAGAGAGAGAGAGGGAACAATGAAGAGAAGCATAGAGAGACAGAGGAAAAAAGTGATGGGGGAGGACGAAAGAGAAACTAAGGCACTAGGAAACAGGGTCTGTTGAGATAATGATTACAAATAGCACATACACACACGGTTGTTTTTATTATATTTTTTTTTTCACTTCACGGTTCAGTTCCTCGAAAAACAGACTAATGGTCCCTAGTGTTCCAAGAGCTTAGAGAATCCTTTTTCTTTTTCTGTCTTCCATCGTAATATTTTTATTTATTTCTTTCCTGCCCACATACTCCAATTTATTGCAGTCCCCTGCCAGTGGCAGACTGCAAGCAGCTCCTGTATCAGTCAGTGGGGGGTGTGTGGAGGGGGTAGAGGAGCAGAGCCAGGCAGAATGATCTCATTTGGTTTGCGATTTGCCATTACTGCTGATGAGTTTCTCTTAATGAGCTCCTTTCATCTCAAGAGCAGGAGTCTCAGACATCCTGTCATCTACTCGCTGTGTGTTTTTACAGCTGCGTTCTACACACACACATACGCACATGCCCACATGCCCAAACTGACAAATAATGAGTCCCCTCATTTGAATGTGCAAATATGCATAGCTCCTACATTGCATGTGTAGCTGCACCGTTTTGATCTCAGCTTCTGGATGAGTGCAAATGATGCACCAAAAGTTAGAGGCAGGCTCATCTCTCTTCTGTCGTCTCAACACAATATTCTCAGCTTTATTCAGCAGCTCTGTCAGTCTCTTCTTAATAACAAGCTAGCTGAACCTGTTTGAGTGATTTTTGCTAAGGCTGAGAGTTCAGGGTGATCTGTACTGCATATTTAGTTTGCTTTACTTCAGTAATTTTTGTGGTGTCATTTGTATGCTCATTCATTAAATTTTCAAATTTGACCACTGTTTAGACCATACAGTTGTGCTGAAGAAAGTGTGTGTGCGCATGCTTGGCTTTGTATATTTTCAATACAAAAAAGTCCTGACACTGCAGACAATCCAGAGAAAAACAGGGGTAATGTTAGAATGGTCCTGATTAAACTAATGTTTAACTTGCTAAACTGAAAAGCCTTTTCAGAAACTGTTTTTGGAAAAGGTTTGGAAAAATATTTTTATTTAATTAATCAATTAGATCCAACTACATAAGAAATGTAAATAATTGAATCCATCAACAGTACACGGAAAAAATGAGGCAGCATACTGATATAGTAAAAGAAAATAATTGATAAGATTATCAACAATAAATGTGAGCCACTATGTTATTCCACCCACATGTTTACATCTCCTGTGAGGATGATACAAATGTGACAGTACAATCTTATTAAAATATTAATAATAGACTCTTTAAAGATTATATGTACCAAACATGGTAGCCGTGGCCATATTATACTATAACATATTTTACTTCCTCTTGTAGAACTCCAATGCAGACATCATCTTTCACAGGTGTAGCAAATGATTCTGGTGTGATCACCAGAATGTGATCAATAACACTGCCAATATAAATATTTTCATATGAAGTTGAGATACCTACAATTTCATTTACAGTTTACTGTTAACATTTTTAGAGCATTACAAACTCAAAACACTTCAGTCACTGTTACCGTTACCGTAACTGGTGGCATTACAGTGGTTAACTTTACAGTCAGGCTCAAAAAGTCTTATTTACAGTATCTGAAAAAAATGGTACTGTGCTGGCACATTTTTCTTTTGCCAAGATGTAAATGAGGTAAATGTACCCTCAATGATAAAACAGTGGCTTTAAGGTCCACTTGTGCACCTTAAATAAGTTTTTTTCCAAGGGTAAAGGTATATATTAATATCTTTTTATAGCCTAATGTTTCAAAACAGAACAATAAATTAAAAGGCCTGGAGTTAAAACAGGGTGTTTGGAGTCAATACAACTTAAAAAGTGCAATTGTAATGGATTATAGTATAATTATGTTCCTTGACTAAAGTATACTTAAGTGACAATAGGGGTATTGCTCCTGTGATAGTTTAATACCTTTTTTCTGAGAGTGTATTGTTAGTTACATATATACATATGTGACATACGTTTGACCCCACATCCTAATACGTCCTAACAATCTAATCTGTGTGTATACACTAATTTTGTGCAGTTTTTTCACTGAATGTATACATTGCTGTATGTGTGGTCCATGTGGAAGTGGAGGAAAGAGGTTGATTTAGGCACTTTGCCCAGATTAAATAAAGACCATTGAATTTTTTGTAAAATACATTGTTGGAAACTAGCAGCTAACAAGAGATTATCAGCTCACAGTGGGTGTCTTTTCAAAGAATTCTAAGAAAGCTAAAAACACAGTGGATTTGGGACAGCGGATAATTCCTGACCTAAAGTATAATTCCTAAAGTATAATTGCGCTGTCATATCCTTTAATATCCCTGAATACTGTAGGCACAAACACATACCCACACATGCTGCTTAAGGGGCCCCCAGCTCCACTGACCTGATTGGCCTCTGTCTGGTTGCCAGGGCTTCTTGGCAGAGTGGAGCTGACCCTGCTGAGAGGGGCATGAGAAAGACCCAGGTGAAATGACAGGCATTTCCTGTCTCAAGGGAAATGATGGGTAGACCCTGTCCTCCTCTGCCCTCCGCTCACTCCTCTAACCAATCTGCAGCACTCGCAAAATACACTTGTACAGCAGTACTGCTCCCTCCTCATGCCTGCGGGTCACCACTGTGGCCTGTATCTTACCAGTGGGGCAAGAAAAAACGTTCCTTTTTGTAAAGAAATCTGCATCAGTAACTTTAATTCTTTTACAGTAATAGAGGTCTCTGCTAAGGGACCACCTCTCTGGCAGGGCTTTCAGATATGCTGACATTTAAAAGTGAACATTTTAATGGGTTGGAACCACAGGGCTCTGTCAAATGAGCCAACTGAGGCCCCATTCGGCATAATTAAAAGCAAACAGGGCAGTCTGAGGTGTGAAATTGAATGTTTGTTCTATCGAAACAGACGTTTATCACAATATAATGTAAATATTAGAGATTTTATATCAATAATGACAGTGCCAGCCAGGGTGTCCGCAGTTTGAGGAAAGCTGTGCTTCACTGCTTCCTCTGACCATAAAAGAAAATCATGGATTTTCCTATAATGGCATGACAAAATATGCCATTACAGTGAACATTGATTCGAAAACAATATATGTGTGCAAGGGTGGATCAGCTCAAGGAGCCACGGAACTTTAAATCAAAAGAAGCAGCAGACAATTGATAGCAAATGTTTAATGGGAGCTCATTGCAGTAAGTTGTGCTGAATTGCAAGCACTTTTATTTGCCCAAGCAAATGTGCTTGCGGGATTGCATACAGTGCTAGCAGTTGGATGAAAGTTCCCCTGAGGCTGTGCCTTTGACTTCTGCAGGGAAGCAGTTCTGGGTGTTCAAGGACACCATGCTCCAGCCTGGCTACCCAAAGGACATTTCCATGTTTGGCAACGGCATGCCAGCACAGAGTATCGAGACCGCCGTCTGGTGGGAGGATGTAGCCAAGACCTACTTTTTCAAAGGGGACAGGTCAGTATGTGTTTGTTTTTATCTGGTGTTTCTGTAAGATCACTGCAATGATATTATGGCCATATTTTCAAAGTTGTCAGTAAATGGTCTTATTAGTTACTTTTTTTGTATTTTGTAATATATGCAGAATTTGTGTAAAGTGCATTGTTTGTTTATTATCTCTGGAAGAAGAAACCTTTACCCCTTATAAATATGTAACAAAACGTCATAAATCTTAACTTTACAATAGAAAGGAAAAATGCTCATAATTTTAATCTATGGTAATGAATTGAGATTTTATTCCAGGTCATTTTGGACCATTTCTGACATACGATTTTTTATGAAATGTTCACAAACATAAAATATTCAGGTTTTGATTTGACAGCAATGATATACTTGTATATGGTTGGAATGCCAATAAAGTTGAGTTTCTGTACATTAATTGTTTCCATGCAGGTATTGGAGATACAATGAGGATATGAGGACCATGGATCCCGGCTACCCAAAGTCCATCACAGTGTGGAAGGGTGTCCCACCTTCTCCTCAGGGTGCCTTTCGTAGACAAAGCCAATGGTACAGTCTGTTCCCTTAACTAATTACTGCTAAATATATTTCCCTATAGTGTAGCCAAAAGTCCTCCATAGCTTCTGCTTAGCCTTCAGATGGTGCTCAGCACGGTGTAGAGCCTGCATCACAGCATCCTATTTTCATGCTGTCCAACTGGACAGCTTAAAGGAGCCACAGGAGAGGCTTGTCAGTCAGCTTTGAGATCTATCCTCATTGGCTGTCAAGAGTGGGTAGAGCACATTTCATTGGCAAAGGCAGTTCATTCACTTTGGCATAGCTTATCACTTGAGGTGTGCAGTTGGAATGCCACATGTGTGCCATCTGTCCCCATCTCTGCCTGCCAGATCTGCACATGGGCTCCAGCACTCATCAAAGCGTGAAGGGTGGATCGATATTCCAGGGAAATCATTTGGAAAGCAATAGCCAGCTTTTATTCAGCCGCTGCCCCTGCGCATCTCCCGGATGCTACGGTGCACAGAAAATTGACCCCAGTTATCAGTCATTATTGCTACCCAATAAAGGAATGATAGTGATAGGAGCTTTTCTCATCAGCCATACAAGTAATGTGGGAGTTAGAGAGTCAGTGTGGCATGGATGAAGTGTTGGGTACTAGGGTTGCATGCATTGCATATTTAAAATGTATTCATGATGTCCTGTTTGCAGATACAAGATTAGGTAACATTGTGCTTGTTTCTGTAATCTTTATGCACATTTTACAGGTTGTAATATTTCATATCTTTGTCACACAAGCATGAGCGTGTTAAGCCTCATTATGAAAAATGCAAAATTCAAGCAATTACAGTACATGTCAAGAAGTTGGATAGCATACTGAATAACACCTGAGAGTGGGGTTTGATTTCCCTGTCCAGGCAGGAGTGCCACACCTATAGGAAGGAGTCCTCATCCTGTATTTGCCAACCACTTTGACGAAGACTGACTTCTAAAAATGCTAACATACTGAGAGAGAGGGTGGAGTTAGTGAGTTAGTAGTTATTTTATTTTGTTCTTATTGCAGTAAATCTTTTGAATCTACTTGGCAACAGTTTGATGACATCCAGTTTTGCATATCTCAATGCATTTTATAAAAGCGATTAAGCCATTTCAAAAATGCAACAAACTATATATTGTTCACTGTCAAAACACTGAAAAATATTGAGATATAACTTTTTTTAACCATATTGTTCAGCCCTGCTGCATAATCTGTTGCCGTCCAGCCCTTGCTGTCATTTTAGATCAAATGCAGTGCCCATCTCTGCCAACTGCGTTATGTCGCACAGGCACAAACTCTTCCACAGTTACTCATTCTCCACCTGAATCTCATTCACAGTTGAACTGAGAGCCAAAGCACACTTTCCCAGGATGAATCTTTCAGGACTCTCTCACCGTAAGCTACTCCACTGCTCCAGTGATTTAGAACCCCTCTCACACACTCCACTGCCACCTCAAAGTTGAAGGACTCTGGCGGCTCCGGCTTCTTGGCCATGCGAGTGCCTTCCTCTGGTTTGCCTCACTTTTTCCTGGAGAACATGCATGAATAATGCAGGTGTAGAAAAAGGAAGAGTTCAGCCAGATTGTCCTGCTGAGGATGTCACCAGTTTACATTAGTCTTATCCACAAGGGAGCTGGAGAAGTGCTCTCGTTTCTCTACACACAACAATGCAGGGAATGTAGGCCAGTGGGGTAAAGCTATCCAGACAGCAAAAGAGAAACCAAAACATTGTCGCACTGTTTGCAGATATGTCTTGAACTGAATTGTTTGTGGTTACCAAATCATCCATCAAGGATGCACTTGGAGATGGCATGACCTAAAAATAATGCGTCTGCATGTTTTGCAGGTTTCACATACTTCTACAAAGATAAAGAATACTGGAAGTTCAACAACCAGAGACTGCGGGTGGAGCCGGGCTACCCTCGCTCTATTCTGAAGGACTTCATGGGCTGTGACCTGATGCCCATCGACCCCGACCGCCTCCCCACGGAGGACGTGGACATTGTCATCAAGCTGGACAACGAGGCCAGCACGGTCAAAGCCATCGCCATCGTCATCCCCTGCATCCTGGCGCTGTGTCTGCTGGTGCTGGTCTACACCGTCTTTCAGTTCAAGAGGAAGGGCACGCCACGCCACATACTGTACTGCAAACGCTCCATGCAGGAGTGGGTGTGAATCAGAGCCCTGCCCCTTTAACTCTCACCTCCCGGCAGACGCCGCGGTGGTACAGCCCACCTTAAAACCTGCGGACTTGCGGCCCTGACCTCACTCTGTCTCACTCCGGCTCTGTGGGGAGCAGAGAGGGCCTTTGCCTAGATCTCCCCCTCCAGGAGAGGAAGGGTGCATTATTTCTTACTCCTAGCTCCTCTCCAATTGGCTCAGTGCGCCCGCTCTAAGACTAGAGAGGGTTCTAGACCAGACACCTTCTACGGTGCGCTGCGTCATTCTGCGTCAAATCAGGTCTTAACTGTTCTAAGTGGAAAAAAGCTGATTGCTATATCTTTAGGTTTTACTCCCAACTGCACGCTCAAACGAGAGAAAACAAAAAAGAAACAAGCCCATCTTAAAGTTGCTGGAATTCAACGAGTTAACATCTTCAGAGTTTACCTAATCTTTTAGCCTTTCTGTTCGACTTCGGTCCACTTATTTTCTTGAACCGAGGTATTTACAATTCCCTTTAAGCAGTCCTGAAGAAGACAGCCCAAACCAAATAAAGACTTCTTTCTCTCCAAAGAGGATTTTTTTGTTTTTTTTAAATGTAATTTTTTTGTTGTTATCGCTTTCCTTTCTTTTCTTTTACTCCCTGCTCTTAATCTGCTGTAGTGATAAGAAGTGGGGAACTCTTGACTGTTGTGGCAGTCTGTCTCAGAAACAGGGGCCAAAATATTCTGCAATATTTTTAACAGCCTTAATTATAGATTGTGTTATTCTTATTGTTTTTTTTGTTTGTTTTGTTTTGTTTTTTTAGTTTTGCTTTATTTGTTTGTCAGCAAGCCAGTGGTTGGCATCCGTTGCTTTGCTTGTTTTGTCCTACCTGTGATTGAAAGGCCATGGTTAACCAAGTTGGCCAGAGGCCTCTGCACAGGTCTGCCAAGCTGCTGGAGCAGGGGCAAGTGGTCAGTCTGCACTTACAGAGAAATATATCAGTAGGAGAGAGAGAAAAGGTTCAAGCCACTACATGAGCTAATGCGTTACTGCGGCTATCCGATGCGCTTTATCGGTCTATCAGTGTAGGAATGCAATGTTAAAGGAAGTGCTATAGTGCTTTAGAACATCGTTCACTTGTTTGTTCATGTTTACCTGCCCTGCAACCCAGCTGGGAGCTTTGGTGCTCCTGTCCGAAAGGAACTCTGCTGGCTCGTGGTCAGCACAGTGTGTCATCTCTTCTGGACTGCCTTGTTTTTTGTTTTTGTCTTGGGGGGAGGGGAGGGTTAAAATTCCCAGAGCCTTGGCACACGCTGCACAGGGGCTTCAACCCAGGATCCATGAGAGCAACATCTCAGGACAGTGCTTATGTGCAAGGGTGTACAAGCATTCATGTGTCCTCTAACTGTGACAGCAGGGGACAAAGAAAAGGAACAAACGAAAACAAATGCCTAGGTTGTGATGTTAGGATTTGAAGTAAGATTTTCTGAATGGAAGCAGAACTCTTTACAGCGCCTTGCGGCATGCAACTTGAACTGGGGGCTCAGCCTATTGCATTAGAGGGACTTCTTCTCAATTTCTTGAACATACAGTACCTTGCTTGCATTTTTTATGTTTTCTTTTTTTCTGGTACAAAACAGAACAAAAAATAAATGATCTCAACCTCAAGGTACAAGTGGTACTCAAGTGAGCTGAGCTGTCATTTAGCATTCTTTTCTTGGCCAATACTGATCAAGAGATATTTTCATTTTCAGTTCATTTTAGTTGACAGAAACCAGTGAAGATATGTCATTGCTGTTTGGCAAGCATTGTTTGAATGCGTGTCTGTCATGTTATTTTATTATTATTATATTATTATTATTTTTTTATTCTTTTGAGAGCAAACGAGACATCTCCAAGTACATGTAAGACTCCGAATGGGACGATGGATCAGTCCTGACAGAAATAAAAAAATGATTAGTATGGCATAAATGTCTTTATACTTTTTGCTGAATATTTATACACTTTTTTCACATAGAGCAAAATGCAATGTGTCTTTCTTAAGCCTTGCTTTGCTTTTTGCTCTTGCTGTTTCATTCTTGCTCAGATTATTTCTGCCTTTGGTTGGTTCTTTCTATTTTCTTTTCTCTCTCACTCTGTCTCTCTTTGTGTGTGCGCACGCATATGCATGAGTACAGCTCAGTATTTCCCAGAATCTTGGTAGACAAAAAAATCAACATCAGATTCAGAGAAAGCTGCCGTCATGTTTATGTGGGAAATGCCAAGACCAGAAGCTCAGTCTCTTAATGGTATTGTATGTCATGAAGTTATATTTAAAATTTGATAAGAATCAGAGCATTAAAAATGTAAACAGAGACAGACATGCTTGCTCTGACTGCCACTGACCACTATGGACAAAAAGGCTATTTCAGCTTAATCCCAAAAAAACCAAGGCCAAGTGATTTTACAGTGGCACTGATTTCAGTCTATATTTACACTGGCTACAGTGGCTGTGGCAATACAGTATTGGTAAATGACCTATTGGTTTCTCAATTTGAGGCCTATCAAGGTCTCAGTCTTAGGCCTTTGACATATTACTGTTTTGCCTTTCATGTGACCAGCAAGGTTAATAAGCTTTAAGAGGTGGGGCAGGCTTGTTTCTGGTCCATGAGAGGAAAGAAGAATTGGTGCTAACTTCACCTACACTGGCAAAGTAATCCTATGGTGCTGTTCTCTTCTTTAATCCAGTATGGATGTACACTTGAGTGATTGTGGCCTGAGCAGGAATAATGCGCTTTCATTTAGCACTAATCCTTACTGTGCATTGGTCCAATGTCTAATGGCTCACAGCTAGCAGATATCTTTATTTGTTAAAGATTTAAAGGGTCATTTATCTTCAACAAGCTCTATGTTTTGAGCAGGACAATGATTCATGTTAATGGAGGCAGAAATGATCAGGCTATCTTACTGGAGATACCTGTTACTCTGTGTTAAAATATCATCCACATCATCAATGTCATTTTTTTTTTCAAAACCAGCCCTTTTCTCCAGCTCATTTGTCATGATGTTCTTCATGTTCATTCTCATGTTCATTATCTATAGTTGTTTTAATATGCATACATCTTAATTTTTACATACACGACTGTTATGAAAATGAAGGGGAAAATCTTTTTTTACCATTTTTCATTCTGTCCTTGGCATCACTTTCTTTGTGCTGTATCTTTTCAGGATCCATTTTGTTGATCAATAAACACATTTCAACATATTTTTCATGAATCCTTGAATCGTGTTCACATGCATGTACCATCATTCTTCTTTTGTTAATTTCTTCGTATCATCTGTTTTCCCCATATTTTTTCTCTTGTGGGTTTAATTTTATGGACAAGTCACTCAGGAGAGGGGGCTTTCCAGCTTTCCAGCCAGTGTTGCTGCCTCACAGTGCATTGCACATAAATATACATCTCAACGCCCAGTAATGAATTCTGCACTCAGTTTTCCCTGTTCCCTTTGGTCAAGCACACTGTCCCATATGTTTATGCTTAAATATGTTTAGTGCAGGTACGGCTCAGTACTACACAGCAGATTGCGTCCATAAAGAAGCGAAAGGAAGTGAAGCAGCAGAGGCTTGGCGGAATGATTCTAACTGCAGGGGGAAATTAGCTCCATTAATCACTGTATTGATTCCACAGTGGAGCTCACTCTTGTCACACACCCCACTGTGCCTTACTTACTGTCCTCATGGCTGAGCTTACATCCACTCAACAGTCTCACTCATCACAATATATGTCTACAGGTCCTATTTGTGAAGGCTCAGTACATGCAGAAATGTAACATGCCATTGTGTTGACTTGGAGAAATTACGTTCACAGTTATGCACCACTTCCAGATTCAACTGTGGTTGTGTGTAATGCTCTGCTCATGCTAACAGTAAATAACTGGAGGTAATGGTAAAACTATTATCAGTGATCAGTTACAAGCAGTCTTGACAATATGGCCTTAAGTTCAGCAGCGGAAAATAAAATACAGCAGTCCAGGGAATGCTGTCAATCTAACGTTTTAAGCAGTCTTTCAGTCAGACAAATAACCAAAACTTGGAAGAAAACCCACACCTGAGAGTCCTACCTAACTTTCTGTTAATTTCCATGTTTTCCTCCTGTTTTACTGCTATAGCAGATATTTTTGCACCACACCCTGACCCCATATCGACCTTATTCTTCCCAGCATCCACACCCTTCTCTATATCCTTCAAGGCTCTGGCCTTCTAGTATAAAGCAACCAATGATACAGCTCCACAATCACTATGAAACATACCCAACATCATTAATTCTAAAATGTTGCATATCCATTTGTTACTTTTTTGGATATGACGAGACTTTGAAAAGAAAAACTGCAGAATTACAATGGAAAACACATTATTTTATTTCTCTTATAAATATGGTATTAATCAAAATATAGCATTAATATTCCTTTATGTGTAAAGCCCACTCCCAGCAACATATATGATTCTTAAAAGTGGTTGGAAATGTGTTTTGAGACCCTTCAATTAGTCCAAACATGAAATGAAATTACCTATGATCATGATTTATGTTACATTTGTACCTTTACATGAGAATATATTTAGAATCATTTTTATTTTTTTCTGCTTTTGGCCTTTTTTCACTTTGGTTATCAACCAAAAGCGGACAGAGCCCTTCAGATGTATAGTGAAAGTGACAAAGAGGTGTACTTCACTTTGCCATCTGCTGACTCAAAATTAGCCCAGAGTCAGGACCACAATATTACAGTCTTAAAAATAAAGATGCCTACAAGAGTTCTTGAAAGTGATGCTACAGAAGAATTGTCTTTGATTCCTGAACGACCTTTCAAAAGATCGTTCTTTAAAGAAGAACCAGAAGTTCAATTTGTGTTGTGTTAAGAACCTTTTTAAAGAACCTCCATATGATATAAAAGATGTATGCATGCCAATTAAAAGTTTTTCCTAGAACTGTACACTATGGTTCTAAAGTTTGGAGTCACCATTAAAAAGACTGGAATCACATTTTTCAAGAATATAAAACCTCTTTTATTCACTCTGCATGTATAAAATGATTCTATTATGATGATACTACTTTACTTCATAGGTTTCAACTAATATGTAAAAAGCTGTAAAAAACATTTTAGATGTGTCCAGAATTATGAACAGAACTGTATATTATTCTAAAATGACTGAGAAAGTTGTATAACATTGAGATAAAGATAATAAAATTAACACCCAGAATGGCTCATAATTGAAAAGTAGTGATCAAATCTCGAGGCAGATGACTTATCAAGGAATTACTGTAAATAGATAATTACAGTATATTATTTATAATTCAATAATGTCATGTCTTGCTGTTCCCAAGAAAACTTGACATACTGTACAAAATATCTCATAATACCTTCTGAAGTTTGTTATCATTGCATAAAATAAGTGATTCCAAACTTGTGAATGGTAGTGTACTTCCAAAC